TGCTGTCAAAAAACAGGATTAGCATGCAAGTACTAGTAGCACCAACTAAGGCCAAACTCCAGCCACCTTTGTCTATCCGAAAGTGCAGAACATTAAATGTTTGTCCACCCCAGCACTAAAAGGGAGTCAGACAGCTTGGTTGGGGGTAGCTTCACAGGTGTTCTAATTACATATGTGTAATAAAGAAAAAAAAGATAATCTTTCAAAGCTATCTTTGCATTGTACAATAAATGTACAAGTTCAGCATCATCGCCACACAGCTCTCTCCATTTCAGTCTCGCTTCATAGATGGTATGTGCCCACATGAGAAGCAGAGAATGTAACAACAAATGAACCCCCCCACACCCACACACACACACATATGTCTATAAACAATCCACATGCACAAAAACTTGTCTGCGCACATGCAAACACACATTCAGAGCAGTCGGCGTAGTTTTGAATATGCAAATGCTCACAGAAGCAAAACGTTGCTAACAGGAGTCATTGTGGGTCGACTGAAACTGGACAGTCAGGACTTTTTCCCAAAAAAAGACCAGTAAAAAGATGCTCCGCACTCCCAACCAATATCAAGTCAGAGACAAGGACGTTAGTCAGTGCAATTACAAATGTCGTCATGGTGACTAAAGAAATTTGGCAAAGTGACCAGTCATAGACTTAAACGATCAAACTGGTAAGGTGCTAGCCCAAGGGGGGCTGGCATGCTCCTGGCTGCTAGCCCGTTGCCTCACACACACCCATTATTCTCCTTTCTTTTGGCCATGGTGGTACAATAGAGTTACTTGTATCTCAGCCGATACCCACCGGCAGTACAAGCTCTCCGCCTGACAATTTGCATATGTTAATATAATTAAGTGCTAATTACACTAAAACTCGCATATTCAAAAGCACCCTCCCCGGGAGCTATGTACGGGCTTGATCTTGTTCCAAGTCTTTAACCCTCCTATGCATCTCGCTCAGTGTGTGTGTGAGACGAAGAGAAAGTGTGTGTTAGTGGTCGTGCCCCAGGGCTGACACAGGAAGCTCCCTTCTCTGAGACATAATGCTGAGCTGCAGTGAACTTCTTAACTTCTCCCCAGCACAGGCCTTCTCAAGCCAGGAGACCCTGGCCAGTCATTACACACACATACACACACGCTTAGCTGCTAAACATCAGAATGCATCAAAAACTACGAGCGTTAGAGAGCGGCGTAATAGATTGTGCATAAAAGAATCGAGAGACAATATAAAAAAGGACTACTTCCCTCTTGAAGAGAAGCAACATAAGCGGTGGCTAAGCACAAACGGCTAAGATTCATACTTGAGAATTTCCATTTTACCTTGTAATTTTGACCACTTATCACTCAAGGGATGAAAATACTGGATGTGTTCAACATGTAGTCTACAGTAAGCAGGTGCTTAGAATGACAATAGTTATTTTAACCATAGATAAAAGACAAAAGATAATCTACATGATTTCCTTCAGGGAGTGCGTGTATGGCTGCACGAGTGTGCAGGCCTGCTGTTTTGATAATGGAGGACAGGCGGTTGTGCTTTTTACATTGTAATGGCCGTGAATCAGGGAGGAAGCCAAGCGGTCGGGCTACAATTAGAGTTCTTTTGTGCTTCTTCCTCTGTCTCTTTTTCCCTCTCTTTTCTTGCTTTCAACCGCTGACGCTCTACCTATCAAGGCTAAGTTAAAACAGTCTCGTGCAAAGGGTGACTGGTTGAAGGGGGATAAACTGGGGTTGAATGGAGGGAAATTCACACTGTGCTGCTGCTGGACATGCACGGACAGACACATGCACTATGCACGCGCCAGATGGTACAGCAAGAAGGATTAAATAAACACACAGACTTACACCTATTGGCAGGGAGACGCCTCTGTGTGCACTGTCCCTTAATGAATGTCTTCTGGGAGTCAGAGGGTCCAAGCTCATTTAGCTGACTCTCAATGAGATGCAGCATTATGCCTCTACGGTAATAGGCTCCTCCCATTGCCAATAATCATACGCGGGTCATTGTGTCAGAGTTATTCGTTTCTATCGCACGCGTACGCCAGATGTTATTACGCCCGAGAGTAAATCTCTCCAGTAGGTGTCGACGGGCTTCTTTTGAAAATGAAAAAGAGAGAAATGAAAGAAATGTATATTGTTATAGCAGTCCAGTGTGCAGCGAGCTATACTGCTCTCTCAAGCATGACAGCTGGTAATGCAGGTTTGGATGTTGCTCTGCGTGTGTCTTTTTAAGGAGGGAGGGAAGCTCCCCTTCACTAATACCTGCTTCTCGGATTACCACAGCGTCTTAAGTATTCAACCAGACTCCTATTTTCCCTTTCTGACTTTTTTAGCCAAATTGGCTGTCTTTACACTGTAAAGCTGCGATATAGCCCTCTTTACTAAGGGCCTATGGGGGATCCACGTAGAAGAACATTAAAATGCAGCGATAGCCTTGTTGCAAAGCTCCTCTCTATTTCTTTCTGCAGCAAAGGCTTCTAAATCATCCAGCCTCCTCTATTAGACGGGAGACTTATTGAGGTAGAAACCATAAAAAATGAAGAAGGGAAATTTAATCCCTGAAATATTGATTTGCACATTAATATCAGATAGGCAGAGGGCAATCTAGCCAGGTGGAAATGACACATTGTCGACCCCTAGGAGAGGCCCGAGCCAATCTTCTAGCTGCATGTGTCTTAGACCCAGGAGTTATAGGACAGACTCAGCCCCCCGTCTCCCTCTCTCTCCTCCTCCCTCTCCCTTTACCCTCTCATCCCTCTTGCCCCCCTCCATCCACACCCTTAATGAAGGCTGCAATGCTGAAAATGCATTAGCTTTTAATAATCAAGAAGCATTTTCAAGCCAACAGCTTTTGTCCTTCGAGGGCTGTCTGCTCATCTTTTACACTCATGTTGTTTTGGAATAATAATAAAAAAAAAAAAATAAATCCTTACCGCTACGACTAAAATGAAACTCGCAAATATCTTAACAAACAAGAAAAATACACAACTGCAAGTGTTAAGACCAAGCAGAAAACAAAAACAAGGAGGCTGGGGATTGTGCAATTATAAATCATAAGAAATCATCTCATTTGCAAGGCAGAAAAGGGGAAAAATAGATATTTTTGCTGTTTAGTGATATGAAGTGAGACCATCATTAACTGATGTAATTCACTGCAATTAGAACAGATCGTCTTGTTTCACATTTTTACATGTTTTTATCTGGATGCATGTATTTGTGATGGAAAACAGAATTCTGAGTCGTAATTAAATTAATTAAACCATACAAAGTTTCCTGTCTTTAAATATAATAGTGACGATAACGTGAAAAATAAAAGTGTTTAGTTCATAGATCTAGAAAATTATTCAAACAGAAGTTAGCACTTTTATAATACAATTTTATATTATCTCTAAATAAAAAATATTTTTATAATAATAATAATAATAATCATAATAATGGGCCTTAATTGCTTTTGTTGTAAAATGCACATTTTGTTTAAAATTGTGTTTCACATTTAAATGCATCTTGTATTCAGACAACATTAAAAATAATTTTAAAGTCTTTATTTTATGGTAGATAAATACAATCTACGACCCAGGCAAGAAAAAGACAAGAAAGGGGCATGAATGTACCAGTCGTGTCAAATAAAAAACGCTAACCCATCCACACTGGCGCAAATACGGTTCAGTGTGTTCACACACACTACACCGTTACGCACCGGGCGCGAGACCGACTGGCCCCTTGGCCCTGGTGTTTTTTTGTTTTTTCTCCTCCCGTGCGATCGATGCCCCCTCCTTGTCACTGTCGACCCCATCTGAGCTAAGTCTGTGCCAAAAAAAAAAAAAAAAAAAAATCAACCAGGACGCAAAAGACGCACGATAATCTCTTCTTTTACTTGAATTTACGCCTAAAACACTGATTCAACTTAAAAAGGAGGTTTCAAGCTGCACATCCGAGGCTGAGCTAATAACTGGACTATTTGAGGTAAAACATAAAATAAAAAGAATAAAAACATTTGACGCGGATATGGTTTGGATAAAAAAAAAAAAAAGAAGAAAATGTTAATAACAATAAAAGGAAAGCGAGTTTAAATAAAGGCTGTTGTCTGGTTTTGCAGATGCCGATGTTTTGTAAAAACACTGGCACCAGGAGCGGTTTGGCTCTGGGGGGGGACTCGGTGCCATCAGCAGCCGGGGATCAGACTCCACTGCCAGGCGACGCAGCCGTCAACGCCTCGGTGGGCTGAGACGGCTTTTAAACCCAGCTGGGTGGGGGGGGGGGGGGGGGTGGGGGTGGTTGTTAAACTGTAAGTAGGAAAGTGTGTCGCTTGTTTGATTAAAAAGTCTCAATATGTTTATTTCCAAATGTTTCCACGCGTTCGGATGAGAGAAGACCGCAGCTCGGCGTGAATCGCTGCGTGAAAGCGGACTTGTTGTAGGGGGGGGGGGGGGGGGGGGGGACTCTGAAAAGCGCTGCGGTGCATCCAAACTATGACTTAAAGACTCGTGTTGGAAGTCAGCAAAGGTAAAAATGAAGAAGAATCGACTGGAAAAGGAGCTGGAAGCGGACATGTCCGAAGCGAGCGGACTCCAGGAAACGGCATATCCGCAGCGCAAAGCCACACAGACGGTGCGGTGGGGGGGCAGGCGGTCGCCCTGTAGCCTCTAAAGCTCGATCACTGGAGCAGTACGCCACCCAACACGAAGCAAATTCGCGTAAAGTTCGGCGAAAGCCAAGTCAGGACGTGGTATCGTGCTCCACCAGCACGGGCTCGTGCGTAAGGACGCGTCCAATCCCGACAGCCGCTCGCGTTGTGGAGCCAGCGCGCGCCGGAGCTGCTGTGCCATCACCGTATCCCCCTGAGCTCTGGCTAAAAACACCCAGCACCTGTTATCAGGGCAACCCCCGATGTCAAAGATCTTCCAGCGAGATAGATAATCGATACCCGGCCCCTAAATTTAACACACACACCACAAACTGCTCAATAAAAGTTAAAGGGAGAGGTGGAAAAAAAAAAAAACTTACTTTCTTCCCCCTCCAAAACCGTCACCTCCGCTCCACTCTCTGCTCGTGTATAAAACAGTCACATCCAGCGGCGTGCGTGATTACACAACAAAAGGTGGGAAAAACGGGGAAAATTACAATAATCCTCCAACTTTATAACGGAAAACGGAGTAAAATCACAAATGTCAAGCGCTTTCGAGAGAGCTATCCCTTTTTTTGTGGTTCCGGTGGCGTTGAAACGACGTGTCGACGGGCTGCCTCGCAGTTTCTCTTGTGGACAGGGGTCGGGAAACGGAGGAAAGGAAATGAAAATCCGATATGTCTTTATTCTGCTAATTATTATCGTTTTAGCCCTGTTTAAAAAAATGGCTGATTAAGTTGAGTGCGCATGTCTTTGTGTGTCTATTTCCCGATATGCACTCTGGGAATGGGTAGAGAGACAGAGGGAGAGAGAGGGCGAACGAGAGAGAGAGAGAGAGGAGAGAGAGGGAGAGGGAGGGAGCAGAAAAAGGAGACGGAGAGGGAGGGAGAGGAGAGATGTGTAATTAGTGAGTTGATCAACAGTCTCCACATTGCAAATGACGCGCGCGCGGAGGAGCCCTGGCGGCCGCAGAGGTCTGTGCGCCCAGAAAATCCTTTTTTTGTTCGGCTTCTGTCCGAATCACGTGCACAACAATGGACTTCCTCTACAAACAGAATGCACTCAGAATAAAAAGTCCCGTTTCTCTTCCGAAATAATTCAGATTTAATCTGTTTTCTGGGGTTAAATTTAAAAAAAAAATCTGCGGATTTCTTCCATTTTTTTTTTATTTATCTTCCAATTTTCAAAAAAACTGTTTCCTGTGCGTCACAACTTGTTGTCATTGATTATGACACTACAGGTGATTTTTTTTTTTTAATTAATTAAAGCAAATAGTAAACACTCTTTGTAGATTTTGTGAATTTATATAGAAGTTCTGTTTGTTTTATTTAAATTGGTGGATTTTAAGAAAACTAATGTTTATCTTTGTTAATGCGCAAAAAGAAAAGGAGGCATGGATCAGTCATGGCACAGGCCTGTGCCGCGCTCCGAGCCTGACCTGTGCACTGTGCACGATACAGCTTTATAGGTAAATAACATAAACCTAGTCACACACCTCAGATATTTACGCCTCACGTGCACATGATATTGAATTTGGCACAATCTTCTGATATATGCTTAACAGCCAAGCCCCACATGGTGAACAGTCCCCCGTTCGGACGGCTGAGGGCCCCGTGTGGGTTCACCAGAGTCAAATTGAAAAATCCAATAGGGGTCACCCCCAAATCCCCCCTCTCTGTTCACAAGCTCAGTTCAGTGGTGTCCACGTTGGCTGCTCTTCCAGAGTGACCCGGTTCTTTGGCGTGTTTTCCCCTTCAATGCAAACCGTTTACTGTGTTTCCCCAATCGGTTTTCTTTACAGAAGCTTTTGGAGAAGAGGAAGACTTTACAGCCTGAACCGGGAGAAAATCAAGAGATCTTGTTCTCCTTCATGGGAGGAAAAAAAAAAAAAAGGAAAAAAAAAAAATCGAAGCTGGGGGTGAAGTGAACTGCACGAGCCGGGGCTTGGATGTGATGATAAGGCTGCTGCTGGCGAGTGAAGTACTGGGTCTACTTTGCAGCCCACATTGACTGGACTGCACTCACACCAACTGGATCCTTAAGAAGCCAAGAGATCCGAGCCCGACCCGACCCGAGGCTGTTTATTCTGGGTTTAGAGAGGTCTCTGACAAAGAGGGTGGGTGGGTCGAGGTGATGAACAGAAGCGTCACTTTCCACTCGGATCCACGGCTCTGCTGCTGCAGCTGCCTCCCTGTCCTCCAGGGGGGTTTCCAGCCTGTCAGACCTGGGAGGCGTCGCGCACAGACGGCTTGGGAGAGTCGAGTCGTGCCGCTGCTTCTGCTGATGCGCAAAAACAAATCAGTAAAAGTCCGCAGCGCGCGCTGCGGCTCGAGCACGGGATGGACCTGTTTATCATTTGTAATCGGAGGAGTTTATATAAAGCTGCATGTTTTTTTTTTGTTTGTTTGTTTCTTTTTTTGTTTTTCATTGTGCGTCACTCTTTCTAGAGGATGGACTTATTTTCTCCCCCCCCCCCCCCGTTATTTTTTTGACGGGCCCTGGCGACATTTTTTTTTTTTTCCAGCGGAGTTGCGTTTGTTATTCGCCTTATTTTCTCAGAGAAAATGAGAAAGTGCAAAGCGGATTTAAACCACTGATATAGGGGCTCTGCCGCTTATCTTAACCTCCTGCGTTTTGTAACCCCCCCTTCCCCTCCGGTCTCCACCCACCCTTTCTCCCCGCAGACGATGCTCTTTCTCCGGACGCAGCTTGACAATAGACCGCGAACATTTCGCCCCATTTCCATCTCAGCGCCATCCTCAATTAATTATAGATCTGTATCAGTCCGGCATCTGTGTGTGCGCGCGCGTGCGCGTGCCCGTTATAATTGCGCATAGATGAATTAAATCAGACTAAGAAACTTCTAAGTCGCGTTAACTTTGATCAAGATGAGTGAAATTAAACTCTTTGTGGAATGATCAAACAGCACGAGGACGCGCGCATGCTTCGGTTGGTTTCTGAGGCACGGCTTGATAAATAAAGGGAGCCCTGGCAGGGGTTTCCAGTCACCTCAGCAGATCAATAACTTTGAATCGTCCGGAGATGTTGCCATGTTGGTTTGGCGCACTGGGAGATGCCAAACTGCTGCTGATCTTTGAATTATTTAAACAGTTAAAGTTATATTTTGAAGCATCTTGTTATATTCGTTGACATAAATCTCACTCAAAGTGCAACAAGACCTCCACTTTGTTTGGACGCGTCGGCGCTCTCATGGGGCTGACCCCACCGCCTCACCAAGACGCGCACAAAAGCACGCTAAAGTCCACAGTTCTGACCCGCAACCTGCCACAGTGACCCACTCGACCAACGCACACGCGCACATACACACACACAGGAGTCAGCTTTAAAAGAAAGGCCCACAAAACAGAGAAAAAGAAGTTAAGTGCAACTCTTAACGCACGAATCCTGAGGATGTGAACGGAAAATAGACAAAGTATCTGCTTCTCTCTAAACTGTTGCTCCAAACAAATCAGCTTTTTCTTTTTTTAAAGGAGCTGCAACATTCAGAACATTTGATCACATGTGGAAAATTGCTTCCTTTATATTGACAAAACACTCCAAAGTAATGAGCAAAAATGATCTTTAGTATAAAAGAAGAGAGAAAAACGCGTAAAAATATAAAACCAACAGGCACGTCCAACTTTAACTCTCTCCACATTTTCACCTCCAACCCTGAAGCCATCCAGCAGCCGTCCATAAATATGAAATTGTTAGAAAAACTCCAAATTGACCTCCTCTTACCTCTTAAATATCCCTGCCCCCTTCAAAAAAGGCACAAATAAGCCAGTGAAAAGGGAAGAAAAGCGAAAATGGACACTCTTTGGTACCTTTGGTATAAAGCATTCCGTTTTCCTTCTTTCCTGTCTTTCTCTTGCTCAGTAGCGATCCGATAATAGCATATGGAAAGTGTTTTCAAAATGCCCAGATTTGGCACATTGTCATTGAAAAGAGAGGAGCGCAGTGATGCGGTGCTACAACAGGGGGAATGAGTTGCGGATTGGACGCAGCCAGCCTCGGTGCTGACTTATCCCACTTTAATTTAATATTCCACAATCACACACACTAGTGATGGCATATAATTCAAGGAGAAATTCAGAGGGAAGGAAATGCTTTTGTGTGTGTGCGTGTGTATGTGTGTGTGTGTGTTTTACACCACTTTATTTGATTAAGGAGAGAGGCTGCACAATATTGTCTTTTTTTCATCTGTTTCCCCTTCTCATCTTCTTTCCTCCCCCTCTCTTTCAGTCAGCTTTTATATTCTGTTTTTTTTTCTTTCTAAACGAAACAATAGATATTTATTTGTTTGTATTTAGGTCATTTATTTAGAAATCAACAACTCCTTTGCGCGTCTGTGTCACACTGGAACCAGTCCTAACATAAAATCGAGACCCATAAACGCTTGTTTGTAAAACACTGAACCCAAAATCGATGTATTGGGTCATTTCGATCGATTATATAAACGAAAATCCATGCGCAACATGAGACCTGGTATCAGCCCACCCTTCCGCTCCCTTTTAAAGAGAGGGAGGGAGAGAGAGGAGAGGAAAAAACACAGAAAGGAGGAAAAAAAGGAGAAAGAACGCATGTAGCGCATGTCTAAAAACAAAGCAGCCAAGATCAGGACATGTCCAACATTTTCATATCAACGACCCCCTAAATGAACGCATCTTAAAACAAGGGGTCTTATTTAATTGGAGTTTGTTTCCGGGATGGGCTTTTTGTTCTTATTGATTCAGAACTGTGTTGTGAACCTGCTGAGAAGCTTTGGTCAGACATGTGTCCGCTAATGGAATCATGGGTAATGGAATCACATATAAATAAAAAAAAAAAAAAAAGTCTTCTTTTTGACCATGGGAGGTGATGTGGGGGCACCCCATGGTCTTTAAGGGTTCTTGAACCCCACTTTAAATTAAAAAAAAAAAAAAACAACCTCGGATGCCAAAGTGTTTCCAGATGCACCGTGGTGCAAGTCCTGATGACAACAATTAGAAAGAAATGCCCCAATCAAACGGAGCCGGGGATTGCGTCGCGTTTCAGGGGTCAAGGGGACACACCACCCCCTCCCCCCTCCACCCAAACCCATCCACCTCCACCAAATATCACATTTCATCATCATGGCCCCAACAACAAACACGCAACTTCAGGCTGTAATCATGAATGTAAATTCCCAGCGAAAGGCGCGACAGCCGGTGCGCACCGTCCGAGGAGCTGTTGCATAAACTGCGCATTAATATGCAACATGATATGGGGGGATTGAAGGGGTGGGGGGGTCGGAAAGGAGTGGGGGTGACGAGGTGCGGGAGGGGTGGATCAGGACAGCCGGATGGGGCAAAAGGAGGTGGTGCCAATCATGTAAAATTTACATGGGACCACAGCTGCTGGAGCTCTCGAGCAAGAGAAGAGGAGGAGGAGGAGTGGGGCTCTTGAGATTAGGAGACAGAGGAAGGTGGAATGGGGGGTGAAGGAGGGTGAAGGTGCAGGGGTCACTGGTGCCACCGTGTTTCTTTTGTTTTTGTTGTTGTTGATAAGAGCAAATAAATAAATAAATTAATTAAAAGTGCTGGCGGGAGAGACAGGCGGAGCAAAGTTTTAGCAAAGTCTAGAGAGGAGCAAGCTGTTGATGCATCCAGGGAGGAGGAGGGTGAGGGGGGGGGGGGTGTACATGGCAGACATCGTCGCCCTCTTTTCGGGTCGCTCACAAGAGGAAGTGAACACACACACACATACACACACACACACACACCCTCCTCACACAGCCCACGCTTCCAGCTCCACTGCTGTT